ACATTGTGCGTATTACCTATTTGTTCATAAAAAATGTCTCATACTCAGAGTTACTAAATTTAATTTTAAAAAAATCAGAGAACTAGCTCGGCTGTGTATTTCGAGTATACCTCATCAATGAGTTATGAATGTAAATCACTGTCATGGATGTGTTAAATTTGAATTCAATGATGTATAATTTATTGTACCTACCTATACGAAAAACTTCTAATCGGGGACGGCTTATCGGCATCTACTTCCAAGGATATTTTGTAATATATATATATGCTATTATTTGTAATTTGTGTTTCTATATTATTAATACTATCGTTGAACTAATGTTTGTCCAAATAAATTAAATATATTACATTTTATATTATACTATTAATTATTAAAATACAAAATCATAAATTATTGTTAACAATATTTTAATAAGTCAATATACCCACGTACCGTAGACTGGTGTAAAAAGGTACATGATAATATATAGATAACTTAAAATAAACGAGTCTAATTACTTTAAAAGTTCCTTCGTGAATAAAAAGTAATAGTATACCTACGTAATGGTGAAAAGTTTCAAGTTTCAAAGACTAATATTTTTTGAATTGCAACCAAATAACTAAAAAGTCTAGATATGAATCATTATTTGAAATATTCAATTTCAAAATATCGACTTCATATTATGCCTAAAAAAAAATTGAGCCTATTTACGTATGTATTTTCGATATTTTTGAATTGCTGTAAAAATATTTTACGTGGTACCTATTGTTTTAAATTTTCAATCCTTAAAGGTATTAAAATTAAAAGGTGGCTTGGTGTGGCGCAGTGCATACACTCAACTGCGGAAGCGCACTGAGCGTACGTAGTTCCCGGATGGGTGACCACCCTGGATTTAAACGAATCCTTTCCACACATACAAAACGTGTTTTCAATCTTTCCTCCCCCTACTAACAACCTACAAACAAACAAAAAACCAACAGCTAATGGCCTAAGTTACCGGGCTCAAGCTGAATAAAAAAAATAAAACTAAAAGTTTGAACTACAAATCGATTTAAAAATGTTCATGATTTTTAAAATTGTTTGAACTTTTATATAACATGTTAAACATTAAAGTACTTACGTGTTATACACTATATTTAAGAAATTAAAATTGTAAATATAATTATATAACATTAAAAACAAAAACAATATGTTCTACATATTTTACCGATATGATTTAGTCACTCCATAGTTTCAAATTTTGTTTAAAATCTGTCAAAGTTTACTCAGAATCTAAAATGAGAAAAAATAATATGATTCTTTTAAAGGAAAAAAGTAAATTACAATTTTCTTTTTTAAATTATATTATTCTGTAGAAAAAAATCACAGCTGCAAATGACCTGCTTTAGTCTATTTAGTCAATTTAGTCCATATAATGATTGATAACGGTCCTGAATTCTTAGCATACTTTTGTTTACATACCTAATACTTATGTCAGCACGAGATTTTTGGTTCATACAAAATTAAATTTCAAAATGCTATTTTTAATAGAATAGTGGTTAAATATTATTAAACATTTTTTAAGGCATATTATATACCTAGTATTTAAATAGGTACATAATTTGAAACAATTTAAAAAGTCTAGAATTACAATATTTTGAAGTATTATAGCGATATTATTCGAATCAATTTAGTTAATAAAAGCGTTATTGATATACTAGGGTTATTTAAATAAAATAACATCAGAAAAAAAAATGATAACAATAACATTTTAAATGTCACTAAAAGAAAAAAAAATTAGGTTGGTATTGCTTACCTAATAAGTAATAGATAAAGGTTAGTTAGTGCGTGGAGACTAAAATTAACGAGATCAACGTCGTGATTGTCGAACAACGAACTTTTGAATTTCTGGCATTTTTACTATAGACAAAATAGTAGGCTGATATTAAATACAATATGCACATCTTAATGATATGGTATATTTATAATTCTTACGGACTACTGTGATAATACAACAGCAGATTTATTGCAGATAGGACTACTACGGTCCTTCAAATATATCGAATGGAAAAAAAAAACGAATGACGAGAATTAGTCGTCCATATTATTATGGAAAACTCGCGAACAGCGTACAATTTTATTTTTTCTTGTCTCAAGACTAACATAAACCGTTATAAACGACCGTGACAAACAGTTGCGTATAGAGCTTTTCCGTCCATGGCGTCGTGTTGTGTCGTCCGTGTCACGTTTACAATTTTTTTTTTGTTCTTGTGAACCAAGTGCGTCAAGTGTAAGTTATTCGACCGATCTGTGTAAGTTTTTCCTTCGAACCGTGACCGATCCGTATCACGCTGTGCATGTAAGTTTATTGAGTGGTCTGAACTCATCTTGTAAATACATAACACTATACGTCATATTATATAGTGTTTTCGTCGTACGATAATCGAAACCACCCAAACGAGGATGAAGGAGGTATATCCCTCCCCATGACTTTTTTTTGAAATGTTTTATATTAAATAATATCTGATAACCAAAAATTATATTTTTAATAATTAAAGAGTGCATGTTAAAAATCAACCATCGCCCCCCCCCCCAACCCATAACAAAATCATTTGATCTCCACTGGTTTGAACCAGTTATTATAGGGTGCAGGCTTACCCAATATTAAAAATATTAAAATCATACAACTACACATTACCATTTATTTCTGCTTGCAATTGGTTCACGTAATAAAACAAAAAAATCACTATTATACTATATCTAACGCAGGTGGATCGACCATTTCGGTTACATTTATCCTCAGGCAACGCATGAGTTATAACACTAGCTAGCATATACCATTATACTATTGAGGGATTTATATTATGTGTAATTCTATTGCCGGAAAATATGTGTATAGTGTATCGGTTATAACAATATTGCAATTACAGTAAACAATTATATAGAATACTAGAATTATGCAAAAAACAAGGTACAAAGAGGGGGGGAGTGTGGCTATCACTATATCGCCCCCCCTAATCGTATTTACCACCAGTCACGATCGATGCGTTTATGAGACCTATAATAGAATATTAGAATGTGTGTGATGCATTATTAGCTATCTCAGAGTCATAGGTTGATTGCATATTATAATATTTTGTAATATGTGGTGACTGTATGTCTTTCACGATATTACGTTATTCATAAACATTTAAAATTACCAGATTTAGGGTTCTAAGATACAACTAATAATAAAATGCTATAATTTCTGAGAGAAATCTGAAATACACAGTAGTTATATGCCGAATTCGCAAAGTACCTTACACATTTTATACATCACGTTTAATGTTTTTTTAGGCAGCGTTCATTAGACGCTGCCCAGAAATATTGCTTTGAACCGGAAGGTCCTATATGGCTTTATAAGCTTCTAAAGTCAGTTAATTTAAGTCGTTATAACTACAACACACCATGAACGGCCTTTAAATTGTTAAGGCCCTAAATCCTAATGGCTATAGGTATATAATTTACTAGTTGTGGTTCAGCCCTAAACGTCCTGAAACACATATTATTTATACCTAAAGACGCTCGGAATCTAACAAATAAATTTACAATTCAGAGTATCAAATGTGAGTAATGTGACGTTTATTAACTGCACTTATTTGTTTGAGCTTAGTTATATAAGTACTGTTTTATGGCGGCAAAATAACTGTACGACTGTACGAGGTATTATGGAGACGCATATATACTTAGGCCCATATAATATATTACAGGCAACTCGCAACTACGTATTCATTTTTTTATGGCAGTCGTGTGGTGTGATTCGAAAATGTAGTAGGTGAAGAACGATTGTCAATGTCTCAATAACCCATTGCGTTTGTATGAAAGTGTGTACAAAGTTGAATTAAATATTATTTATAAAATAAATATTTTGGACGACCGGTCGTTACGATAAACTTCGGCGACCCGCCGAACGGGAGTGGCGGATAGATGGCGATGGCGACGCATCGTGCGGCGGTACACGTCGCACAAAAAGCGACGGCGGCGGTCAGCTGTTGGCTCGTACGCGGCGTGCGTTTCACGTGATCCCCCCGGTACGCCGCCACCGCGGTGCAATCGGTTTTGTTCGACCGCCGTCGGTAGCTCGCTGGCACACAACGGCCGCGGTACACGTCAATAACCCGTTGGCCACAGTCGCGAACACAGTCTTGGTATCGACGTACCGTCGCTGCCTGCCGCCGCCGCCGCCGCAGCCGTCGAGTTACATATTATTATATTATTGTTATTGTTATTGTCATTACCGTCGTCGTTGTTGTTACCGCCGCGGTCGCCGCCACCGACGCTGCTGTCATTCGAGTGTCGTGCGTTTTTCGTCGTTGTCCGAATTAAAAGTTAAATTTTCTTCTTCTCCGGCCATACCAGTGTTGTGCGTACTACATCCGCCGCATTCTACCCTCGCACGACCGTTTAGTGGCCCGCTTCTCCGTGGAGTTCGCTCGAGTGTTCGTGTGTGTGTGTGTTTGTGTGTGTGAGTGTGTGTACATGTTGTCGCGTGCGTCCGCGATCTAGTGCTTGTCATTTCGTCCCCGGGGGACACTGGAAGAATATAACAACACAAGTTCCCGTCCGGTTTCGATTTGGTCCGCGAAATATTGATTCACATCATAATAATAATCGTATTATTACCTATACTGATTTCAGCACACGCTATACTTGGCATATACCTAGGCATAATTCGACAATAAATTACATCCAAATATTAAATTGATTAATAATATAACGTACCAAAGGCTTATAAATCTTCGGCCAGTGTGACCGCCGCCGCCGCCACCACCGCCGCGATATACCTACGCGAGTCCGGGACGAATAAAGCTCTCGATAAAATCTATCGTCACGATAAATTTGCGTTCTATATAAATATAGGAGGAGACGCGTATTCTGGAGAGAGGCGTATAATAATATTATACAATCACATTAGACCGATTGTGCAGTGTGCGTGGGCGTAGGTACGCGTGCGTTGATTGAAAACTTACCGCGGCCGTGTGTTGATCATCCAGCCGTCGAATATGAGCATCGCCGCTTTGTTACAAGCCGCCGAGTACCTGGAAAGGCGCGAAAGAGGTAAGTTTACCGCGTCGCCACCGTACCCCCCGCCACCGTTCGCCGACACCGGAGCCGCGAGCGACGGAGCCGCCGCCGCCGACCGCGTAAACACCGTCGTGTTTTTTGCAGAAGCGGAACACGGATATGCTTCGCCGATGCCGATCACAATCGATCTCAAAGGGTCTTCGAAGAGGCCAAAGACGAAGAAGTCGCAGGGAAGCCGGTGAGTGGTCGCTTTTCGTGTTTATACTTGTCGCGGGTTCGAAATCCCCCCAGCGTTTCGAATGTGGCGAAATCCCGTGAGGTTTATTGTTTAAATGCTAAAAGAAAAATGTGTACGAAAACGGTATTTAAGAAAATATAAAAAAAATACATGCCAGCACAACACGCGGAGGTTATAGGTATAGGATGTCGCCGTGCGCGTCGGCAAAACGGGTAGAAAAAGTCGCGACGTGACCTTTTAAATGTCAAGGTTAATAGAGCCAGCACGCTCGCCTGGGTGACAACGCTACCGATTCCTTCCCTCCCCCCTCAGCCCCAACCGGCACAACCACCGGATGACTTTTGTGGAATACATAACTTTTTTTCGAAGCTCCATGGTCTTCAGCTATGTAGTTATTAGTCACCGTCGATGCAAACCCACGAGTCGCACACGACGTGCTCCATATGGTGATATTATACATAATAATATTATATTGATATAATATTATGACGTATAATATCTGCGTACCTACGGGACATATTTTCATTATTACACAACCTACATCCATTCCAAGCGGAGTAAACAAAATGTTGTTGATTGTGTACGTTTTCTTCGATCTCATAGCAAATAGAAGACTGGGGCAGTAAAAAGTCTTATAAATACATTACCTAATGGCTAATTTAAATTAATTTATGCAGTTGGTAAACACAATATTATAATATCCATCAACTATTCGACCTGGCATTATATTTTGAGTTGGATAAAGAAGTACGAATAGTAAAAGGATAGGTCATTTTTCGAATGCTCCGGTACCTACCTATATAGTTATAGAACATGTGATAAACAAATAAACCTAATGAGAAATATACGCAAGTTTCATACACGAAATCAAATTATTAATGCTTTGATTATACCAATTTCTTTTATTTACTCCAGCCATTACTCATTCTACCCAATTCCTGTACCTATATTAATTTTTATGTCTCAATTCAACCACTTACGAGTACCTTTAATAGTGTATTTAATATTTATGTGTGTGTGTGTTAATCGTTTTGACAAATAATATTTATATTTTTTATTTTATATCGTTCTAATTATCTGTGTTTTTGTTGAATCTGATTATACATCTTAATATTATGATGATATCTGATATAGCGCAGAGTTATAGGTATAATTATTATTCTTTTATAAACTTTAAGTTTATTTAATAATAAACTATTAGTTCATGTGACATTTATAATTGTATTTGTTAAAAAAAAAAATAATATTATTTTTTGTCTAAGGTTATGAAATAAAAATTTATATTTTTTGTTATTGTGATTGTGCTTCCTTAATTTTTACAGATTTATTATCATCTAATGAGAAAAAGAATTATCACCAAGTGTAAACTTTTTACTCCAAGTTTTTAGTCCATTTACTTAATTTCTCTGTTTAATTATTTTAATGGTTGAAACTAATTTTAGTTTTCTTTCTTCTTTGAAAGAGAAGAGGATATTTTTGGAAAAAAAATATCAAGTCTAATATGACACTTTCACATTTTCTTTTAAAACTGATGTTTGTGTTTTTCTTTCTTACTCTACCTTCTCATTTTTCTAAACTTTTCTTCGTAATTATGAAGATCTACTACTTTTATCTTCTCCATCCCTACCCCAAAGAATCTCTTACAGTTGCTAACTTACACGAGACAAAGGCTTCCGGAAAGGAAATTGCTATCACATGTATGTACACTTCTCTATGGTGTTTACACGTTGCTGATACGGTTGAGGGTGTGTTCGCTGGTTTTTCAACCTCTTGTGGCATAGGATATAATATTTTATCAGGTTTTTCTTATACATAATATGTAGGTATAGTGATAGAATGAAATCAGAAAATGTATTTATGAAAGTTTTTTTTTTCAATTATTTTATAGTTTTGTATTGGGTAGGTTGTAGGTATTTAAATTTTTAATTACAATACTGTACCAAAAAGTTTCTATTGAAATAATTGAAGTTTTTATAAGAAACTTTTATTTTTATTTTTACACTATACACAGGGTTGCACGAGGGGTTGCATAAAACAGTTGAATCTTTTATATCATTCTAAGGTTTTCTTAAAAAAAAATAACAGTAGGTACATACCCATTTTATGTATTTCATGTAATAAATAACGGAACGAAATATTATTGACTTGAAGACGTTATGTATTCTATAAATCTATAAAATATATAATAAAATACCTTATTGTCCTTGACCTCTTTGTCGTTACCAAATGTTAGCTGCCGATTACGTTATGTTCGAGGTTTTTTTCAGCTCGAAAACCTTATACCACCCTATCACTTAAAACCCTTAAAGATAAAATAATTTAGTACACAGTAGCATTAATAATTAGTAAAAAAACTCATTTTTGTAAAGCAGTAGGTATACTTTACAACGTTTCGTAAAAAATAGTTATTTTGATTTACACACTTGACTAATAATATAATATATATATGTAACTCTTTAGGTACCTGCGTCCTGCATTTTCTAGACATTTTTTTTTTTAAATAAAGTTCATGTTTAACGATTTTTAGTGTTTTAGTATTAGGAGAAAATTTAAAAACAAGGGAAAAAACACTGTGGACATTTTGAGAGAAATTTATAGTAAACATTGTATGTTATTACAATAAGATTCAAATTTTTACAAATCATAATACACACAATAAATATCTTAGTATCTAACATACATTTTACCATTAATTTAAAATATAATATCTATTTATCGAGCTATTTATCTACAATATACAACCTTTATGAATTACTAGATGATTTTATTTGGAAACAAATAAATTAAGATTTTATACTATTTAGAAATAGTTCTAAAATAGGTTAGGTTCTAACTATACATTTTAATGATTATAGGCTATTACATGAAGTGTCCTGTTTAATTTTCACAATTTTTCATAAGCTTACAAGGATTTGAAATAATGATTTATAAAGAATAGTTACTTATTAATATGTGTTACCATAAAAAAGTTATTGGTTTGGAACGTAATTGTTGGTCTAATAACGGTCTCTTAACAAAAAATTATGATTGATTTAATCAATAGATTTAGCCATCGAAAAACTATATATATAAAAAAAAAACAATGCAATTTCAAACTAACTCAAAACCAGTTTTTATTAGTATTGTTTTTACATCTCATTGTAATTTTCTTAATTAGAAAATATAAGGCGTTTTGATTGGTTATTTATTTTAGCATTTTCTAAAAGCGATATAATTTGTATTAATTTTCCTGTATTAGTTACTAGTATAAACATTGAACATATTGAGTTCTTTGAATTCTATAAATTACTAATAAGCTAATATAGTTAACTAGATATAAGGTTCATCGACTACTGTTTATATTTTTACAAATACTATGATTTATTATCGCAAAAATGATGATTGTTTCATTGCTCATTGATCATCTTGTAATCTGTAGATTATGTTTTTATACACATAGGTAAAGGATTATTTAAACCATTCAAACGAATTCAATCACATCTTCTGTAATCTTAATCATTTTGTAGGTATATTAAAATTTGATTAACTCTGTATACGTTACCTATGTAACACATATTACTTTTTCATGTATTAAATTTTTAAATAACTATATATATATGTGTGGCCCAGTTATTGAGCATGTCATTTTGAGGTTTTGGCTTAAAGCCAAACAATGATGTTTTTACAAAAATTAAGGGGAAAACATTACGTACATTTTGATCTGCTTGTGTTATATTTATTAATTGATTTATTGTTTGTTTTTGTTACAGAACAACTCATAATGAACTGGAGAAAAACAGGTAAGACATTTGTATTTCTCAATATTCTCGATAAATAATAAGCAAGTGATACGATGCATTTAAACTATATCTGAAGTCGGTCATAAGCCATATACTATTTATTGCTCATTTCAAGAGGCAAAGGGCCAAATACTCGCTTGGTTGTTATGAACATACTATCTTCTTTTTCTGTCCGCCTATCTCTTTCTGTTTTTCTATATCATCATTGTTATTTTTGGCTTTAACTACCTCGCGTTTATAATTATACTACACATTATCAAAAAACGATTCGAAGAAGCAGGGAACAAATTGAGTTAGTTTAGACATATTATACTACTTACACTTCCTGTAAATTATATTGGATAAATAAAAATTACCTGGGATTTTTACCTTGGTATTTATGTTGGAATATAATAACTACAGTTGATCATTACTGGCCTTGTTTTAATTTATGGATATTTATGATAATAATAAAATATAAATATTATTATTATTATTATTATTATTTATTTATTTATCCGAAAAAAATATGCAGAGATATTTTAAAATAATAATATATCAAGTGTATAAGGTAGTGTACAATACATAAATTATATTATTTAAATAAAGTATATGATAATTTCTAACTTTTAATTGTATTTCAAATATGTGTCACGCTATTACAGTTGTTTCCATATAATATTATTTATTTAATATATAAAAAATAACTAGAAATAGGTAATTCTTAAAAACAAACATTAAATTAGAAATAAATATAAGGCATATTAAATACCTTCTAATCAGCGATAACATACGATTCCTATAACAAAAAACTGAAGGAAACTACTTTCGCTAAAACGATAACTATTATGGGTACACTGTCATGAAAAAAAGTAGAGGTAAAATCAAATGGGGTCATCGGTCTTCAAATATGATAAACCCCGTGGTGATTATACAAGTATTGAGATTTTTGTATTGTTCGATCAGCCTTTCATAAATAACAAATAATCAGTATTTGTTGTACTACTTTTATTACAGGCACCTACTATAAGTTTGGTGCGATTTTTTTTTAATCGATGAGTGATGACTTATTAACAAACAAATATTCCTATGTTTTCAAATGAATTATAAAATAAATGATAAATATACCATGATAAAAACAATCATTTTACAGATGATTAATGCACAATAATTTATATCATGTGCATGTTACCTATATTATAAAATAAGTGTAAAATGAGTTTAACGCAAATTAATGTGTTGGATATTAGTTAAAATATACAAATGTATGACAGTTTATAACAATTAGTTATATATATATATATATTGGTATTGATATACGAAATATATTTTGACATTGTATTCTCAATAAAAATATTTTGTATTCAATATTGCATTTGTTGGTAAATATCAGTATTGTGTTATAGAACTTCCCGAACCTTTAATTTATTTTAATTTTGTTATTAGTTTAAAATTAAAATTTTTAATTATTTGGAAGAGCACCAGAAATAAAAATCACGTGGTTTGTTAGCCACTGTAACGGTATTGTTATTTATATTTATTTTGGCAAATTAAAAGTGATTATAAATAAATTAAGATTGATATACCTTAAGTATAATATATAATATAGTATATTTTTTTCCACATTGGCAATAAAATATTGAAATATATGTCATTTAAAAAATATCCATAATTCCTTATATTCAAAATTATGATTAATGGTAACATTATACCTACTTCTTAATTTTTAGTTATCAAGTAAATAAGACCCTAAAGTACCTATAGAATATTCAATTATTATATAACTACAATATTTACTTATATATGTTAACAAAACTCAAAGTGGTAATACCGTTTATTTGTTTGCTTAACTGTTTTTGAAGTTGGTTCGGGTACTTAATCTTATTGCATTTTTAAAATAAACATGTATTTTTTACGGGAATATATTTTTAATATTTTTGTATTGTATTGTTAAAATATTTAGACAGTTTATGGATTCTAGACACTAAAAAGAAGTATTTGTACTTTAATGCCACGTTACATAGACAAATAGTTAAAAACTAATTAGTTGACACTGATACAGTTTCTATAATTTGTTTAATCTGTTAACTATTTTATGTTTAATAGAATTCAAGCTAATTATTTTGGTTGAATAAAGTTCCGATTATGAAAATATTAGAGGTAATATACGATATCCGGGCGTGGTCGTTAAGCTTTTTTGACGGGTTTGGAAACATTAAATGAAGTATTTATACTTTATAGAGATTCGCTTTTTGGTGGTAGTAAATTCTGAAAATTCATTCGAAAACATCCCATCTATTCTTGTTGACAGTTTTAATTTTATAGCGTCCATAAAATGACCAGGTATTATATATTTTTATAACCCCGATCGAATGCTTGTGCACAGTAATTATGATGGTGGAGCGGCTCACGCGGGGAAAGAGGATTGTCCAGATAACGTTTTTATTGTCAGAGGAATCGATTTTTTCCCTTTTTTTCCGCACAACACCGCAAGTTTATCGTGCAAAAAGTTTGGTCAAACTAACACCCTTCAAAAAAAAAAAAAAAAAATCGACCTATAGGGAGTGGTCTTGTTGATGGTTTTGTGTAGCGTTTTAGATGCATGCGTGTAGTTGATAGATACTCATGTTATACAATTTGGCTGACAGCAATAATTGATTTTTAAATTTTATTTTCCGAAATTGATTTTTACTGAGATCGTCATGATTTACATCATTTTTACGTCATGAATCATGATCGTATCAATTTATAAAATTACTAATATTATAATATAGTTAGGGGTTATGGCATTGCAGAGTACATAACAACGTTCGAGTTTATTTTAAAGAAAATCCGGATTGTTTTATTTAGTTTTATCACAGAATAGCATAGAAATTATATAATATTGTATTGATAACAAGAAAATAATATGTATTAGTTTTGATTAATTTTATAGTCGTCGAAACATGATTAAATTTGGTTACTTTTTTAATTTTTTCAGTATAATTATATACTATATGCATACTAATTAGTAATTACTGTTTGCTTGTTGTAAAATGCAATATTATGTAATCTGATTTTAAACGTTAACCCTAATGCTTATTATAGTGCTAAGACACGAAAAAATTGTTTTTCTTTATTTTCTTTCTAATTAAAATAAAATAAATAATTCAAGGTATTTTTCTATGCTTTTGGAAAAATGTCAAATTTGAAAAAGATTATAATTATATGTATATAGCTAGTAGCTATACTATATCAGATCGTAATATTTCAAATCAATATAAACTAAGAGATTATGATACATAGACCACTACTAATTACCATTACCTAGTTACTCCATAGTTTCATATAGTTGTATAATGTAATATCGAAAATTTATGCTTACTACCTAATATACAGAGTAATATACCCTGTAATATACAACAGAATAATAATGTATACCTACCAAAAGAGTTTTTTTATGATTACTAAAACTCAATTGCATTTTTTACTGTACTTATTGAATAATATTTCGTCTCATAGGATCATAATATTGTATTTTTTTTCTGTATTTATCCCTTAATTTATAGCTTGAAAAAATACATATTTTTAGACTTAAGTATTATAATAATGTGTTCTACTTCTCGATAGCTTAATGTATACCTACAAAATGTTTATCATGTTCGTCATCATTTATCATCACATTCATCATATCTTTAGTGTAATATGTTATAAAATATATATTCATTTTTTTATTCGTAGGTACTCGGGTGGTACTCTAATCCATGCATTGTTTTCGTATTTTAAAATTATTGTATTATTGTATAGGTATTCAATTAATTTTAACTAAAAAAAAATGTATTCTTACCAATTGCATACTTTTTAATTGCTCCCAAGACCTAACTTATTATTTCAGATAATTACGTTTGTCATACAACTAATTTCACATACTAAAAATTAAAAACACTCACAATTTTAAAATACATGCGTATATGATTGCGTACCTACTTAATATATTGAACCTGAATAAACATTGTTAAATCGTGTAACCGGTTAGGACTTGGAAGATTCAGGTATCATGCAAAATGCAAAGTATATTTCTTAATTTAGTCTAATTATGTGTAGGTACCTATACCTACCACCTTAAAGGCTCATAGGCTATCTTCGTATTCACTGTACGGCTAGCGTTGAAGTGACAATGAGTCTTCTATAAATGATTGAATTCGTACTTACACCAACCATACAGTAAACATGGTCCTGATGATGTTAAAACAATAAAATACAATAGACGCGTTGACTAAACAAAACATACATACATTGGACGCCGTGCCTTAATAATATAGCTTTGCCACTACAATTAATTACATACGAAAACACACGACGTTTTATGCACATATTTTAATATATGCATACAATTTAATACGACGCTGAACACTTCACATGTTACAGTTATAATAATAGCTATAACGTTGGGATTTAGCGTTCCCCTTCCTATGTTCAAACCTTGACCTTCCTCAAGCGAACGTACGTGGTGTATTATATTGATCGTGCATTCGTACCTACGTATGATGCGTTTTTTAATCAGTTTCGTGCACATTGATAAAAAAAAAAATTATCATTTCATAGATAACACGACCTACATAATGATATCATGTACCTAGTTGCATTACGCTGTATATGATATTCCTTTCTTTATTATCGTTTGTACAATATGCAGTATTGGCCTTGTGGTCATCCAATTGTATTCAAACGCATAATGCGCGCGCATTCGCGGCAAACGGGTCAGCAGTGCTCCGCGGCGAATAATAATAAAAAACAAGCGGTCGACTGGGCAGCAGGCTGCTACTGTGTTGGCGCGTGCCTTGGCCCTGGCGGCCGGTCGTGTCATAAATCGTCGGCAACGCGCATTTGGCACTCATCCACCTAGATCGTGAATTATGATTCTTATTTTCTGTGTGATTTTTCTTTTTTCTTTACGGCTACTTATATGTTCTAAACGAGGTATTCGGTTTTTGTCCATCTATAATATATTGAACATGATATGCTTAATAGAATAATTGTATTATC